TAAAAGCATAAAATGTGTTGGGAAAAATAAATAGTGACTTTCACTTTTCCACAAATGAAAAGAGGAATTATAATAGTAAAAATAGTGACAACTATAAAATCACTCACATTTTCCCCAACTTTCCTACCAGTGTCTTATGCAAAATTATATCAACTGAGTGATTTTTTATTAGATAGGGTAACCCATGGAGCAGTGTTGCCCTAAAAATCTAACACATTCCAAAGTGTTTGAATTTATCAGCATGTCTGGAGATTTGGGATAAATAATTGTTTTAAGAAACCTAATTTTCTAACTTCTATGTATTTAACTATAGTAGTTGACGGTATCATCAATCCTTAATTAATAAAGATTCAATGCAAATTAGCTTCTTAATAATCCCATTTGTATTTTCTATCTAGCTCATAACTATGAATTGTCTGAAATAGTTCTCAAAATCCAACTTAAACTGTCTTACTTCCTATTCCTGTTTTTAAAACAGGATCAACTTGAGACACTCCTCCTGTTAGCAATTTCTAGAGAATAGCTTTGTTCCACAGAATCTAAAGAGTAACAAGTGGTTGTTTTCAGAACTGGATATTTCCCTATTTGGAAAATGTTTGCATTTTTCCAAATACTGATTCTTCACATCAATGTCTCTTTTTCCCAATCATACAGTTAATATAATTAAAGTTTTCCCATTCACCAAGAGGGGAAGTTCCAAAAGAAATTAAAGTTAAATATAATGTCCCAACCACATTTCTAGAAACCTACAAGAAACATGAGTTTCAGCAGCACCAGCAGAGATAATGCCATTTTTACCAGTGATGAACAACCTGAGGTCTTGGCCCCAGAAGTGATGAGCCCAATCAAATACAGCATTACACCTTCAGAAGTAGAGGAGAATGAGTTGCTTACATCTATGACAAAATGTTAAGACTCAGCTAATCGTTGTGGTTTTGATGATGCCACAGTTCTGCCCAAAACCTAGCAAGTTTGCCCTGAAGATTATTGAATTACCCCACTGACCATGCATTATTTAAAGGGAAGTGCTATTATTGTAGAAGTCAACTGTTTAACCATTGGAATTCCATCTGTTGGCCCACTTTCAAAATGCAATAGTGTAATGTGACAATACATGAAATCTAATCATAGAGGAATCAAGTCCCATAGAGGAATCAAATAGGTGACAGCCAACTTGTCTGTCAAGCAAGACCTGGTCAGCAGATTCTAAGGAAAAATTACTGACAAAATGAATGAATCAATTTCCAATGTCCAACTTTTGTCAGCAAGAAAGATTCTGTGGAATTTCATACATACTAATTGAGTCTAATAGTTGAGTAAATGTGTTGATAGTTCATAATTCCAGTATCACAAACTCTGGGGCGATACCTAGTTGTAGAAAGGACCATCCTAGTCATCTGGCTTGTTTTGTTTTGGTAGTTTTGAGTAAAGAAAATGTTTTGAGCATCTTGGGGTACTTAAATATTAAAAACATATTTTTACTTTCTAAGTTAGAAAATACTTGAACTTTGCTGTTCAAAGCAATGTGATTTCTAGTCATGCTAAATATTTGGCCTAAATGAGTTTTCTTCTCTATTTCATCATATTTTACAGAATATTTGTAATAGAAAGGACTCTAGAAGTCCACACTGTGTTTAGCACAAGACTATGCTCCTAGAAACTCTGACAGTTGTTCAAGCAAACTTTATTTAACCTCTTTTGTTAAGGTAAAGTTCATTACCTTTGAAGGAAGTCTGTCCCATTTTTTTACACTTTTGAGGTTAAATTGTTAGAAACATTTTTTTATGACATTAAGCCAGTGTTTGTTTCCCTTTTACCTATCCATTTTGACTCTGCCCACTAGGACAGAATTACATTGTACCTACTGATGTTTAAAGGCACAGATGGAACAATTTGAGACAACAGTTGCAATTGAAGGGTCATTAAGAATTGCTAGTTTTCTCAAAATTGATACTGGAGTAAGTTATTTCACTGCCTTTTAATAAGTCACATTGTATCGGGCTTCTTGTTTTAACCCACAGAAACCAAGGTCTTTGTTTTGGTTTTAGACAAAAAGGTACTAGGAGGACATTAAAGGGAGCTAAATTTTGACCCTCAACTGTAATAAATGAGAGAAATGATTTTTTTGTGTGTGAAATATTTTGATGTAGAACAAGGAAGTATCTATAGGACACTTCAAATAATGAGCTAAATTTTGAAAGGTAATAGATAAATACACACACATACATAGGTAATATATACAATTAGTCCATTTTAAACATAGTGAATAGACAAGGAAAATCATCTCCCTAGCATTAGCTAGCCAGAGATAGCTACTAATTACACTTATGGCAAATGTAAGTGTATGTAGCAATATTTTAACCACATTAAAAACAAAAACAGATGCAAAGATAAGGTAAATGTACTTCATGGGACTTTACAGAAATGACCAAATTTTCTTTGTCCCTAAATTCATTGATCTATAGGCTAATAAAGCATAGCTATTTTACAGACTGAACTAAGTTAAATTCTGAGCTCAGAGAAGAGAAGTGAAAAATCAGTTGCCTAGTACAGGCTATTATTTGCTGCTGAATTGATGATTATTTTCAATTTCACAAGAGGGAATAGACCTTTCATGAATTTCATAACTGTTGTCATAAAGCAGAGGACATGCAGTACATACAACATTTTCCTCAATTTTTGCCATTCCAAGTTGAAGATGGATATCTACCTCCAGTAGCAGACAAAGAGCTCCTGCATTTATAGTGCCTCAAAGGAAGATTGCTTTCAAGATGTTAGAAATGGAAATGCTAAATAGGCCCTAGAATAGCCAAGCCTATTCATCTCTCTTTTCAATCTATAAGCATGAATTTTCAAGTTGGTTAACCTGTGGTGGATGACTAGGAAAGTTAGCTCAAAATAGGCCTTCTTCCTCTCTACATGATGAGCAAACCAAAATGTATTGACTTATTTTTAATATAGTCATTGCACCATTCATTTTTGCACAATGTATGATTTCCCTGAGAAATTCCCACCACCAGTTCCCCCGTGGACCATCACCATAGCCCCTGTGCTCTTCCCACTCATGCCCTGGTCCTTATCCTTCCTCCTACCCTATAGAATATCTCTGATGGTATTGACTACTCTTGACTGGAAGATTCCATTGGCCTCCTGAAAAGAACCACTTAACAAAAAACATATAGAAGTCCCTTCTGGATTGTGACAAACCATGTAAGCCCATTTGTGCTTCTCCTCTAATTTATAGTCCCAGGCAAAGATTATAAGAACAAAATACAAAAACATTGTTTACATTGCCCAAGAGACCAACAGCTGGCCAGGGTCCGGCTGGCAAGTAGAAACTTGTCTTGTGCACTAGTCAATCCTCCAATGGCAAGTGAAAACATTGCTGAGGCTCATTGCCCATCCCTTCCAAACTCCTCAGGCATGAAGAGCCCTTAGGGTTTGCCCGAAGCAAAAGCAGCAGACCCACCCAGAGTGACCACAAAGGAATCCTCACTGAGTTACTACTCCCAGCTGTCTTAAGAATGACAAGAAACCTACCTTATGGAGAGGAAACATCCCCATGCTCCTGTGCCAAGCATCAGGAAAACATTTGGAATCTTCCAGAGTGCCATGAACACTTTGGCCCTTGGAGTAGTGAGACTGCCAAACTAGTTTGGTAGAAGGCCATTAACATGGGCCTGATATCCTGAACTAAGGAGTTCAGAATATACATGGGGTATTTGATTTTCAAAACTTCACCCTGAAGTATGGTGTCGCTGTTATGAACATAAATCTTTTTATTTAAAGCATGATGCTGTCTTCCACGTCAGGAATTAGGGTTGCATACATGTCAGATTGATAACAATTCTTATGGGCTACTGGTTCATGAGTTTTCTTCCATGAAGCCTGGACATTAGTGGAGAAGACCTAGGTCACCCACCTCCCAAGGGAGGTCAGGGAGGTGAAAGAAGGCCAAGATCCAGTTCCCGTGACTCTTTCTGAAGTCAGAGTTTCACTTGTGTTTGTTTTATACATCCATGTGTGTAAGCAAGATTTGGTTTAACAAAAAGTTTACAAAGATTTTGGATTCAAGTTTCCTGTAAGCTTGTTTTGCCCTCTCTTTTAGTTCTAGAGCCAAGAAAAGTGTGTCCAAATCAAAACAAAACAAAATAAAACTAAACCAAAATGTACTTGCCAAGTAAAGAGGTCTAATTGTTTGCAAATATCAAAAAACATTTTTGATTCCTGGTGTTCCTTCTGGACAAGCAGAATCATGTGAAACATGGATATATGCTTTCTCAGTCTAACAAATACGTTACATCAGAATGGAATTGACAGCTCTGGTTGCTCTAAGGTGATAGGAGTGTACCTCTCACATTGGTGCTGCCATCAAGGGCCATGGCTTCCAGAGGTAGTCAGTAGTGATGATCCTGTCTTCACAGAACATACTAGATCCTGGAAAAGAGTGTACATAGGAAGGGAACCAATACTCATTTGAATCTACAAATGAATCTCAGTTTCCACACTAGAAAACAAGGAACCCTTTCCAGATTTCTGTCTCTGTAATGTTCTATCTAGTGTCACAGGGAAAGCAGTTAAGCCAAAGAGCCAACCTTTGAGCCCCCCTGAGCATCAAAACTACAGAGTTGCTAAAAAGATTTCAAATACTGAAAAACTGACCTTCTTTTAATTATTATTCCTAGCAGATTCCTAACCATGCCAATACATAAAGAACTAGAATTGAGCATAGGTCCAAAAATGTTAGGAAAATTAATACAATTAAAGTGCATGGCAACTGAGTTAGTGCTAAGAAGTGTTGTATAGACTCCAGGAGACATGCTAGAATCCAAAAGGATCTGTGGGGTCAGATTTGTTGGAGAAGCTTCAAGAAGAGGTGGAGACAAGGGGGGATGGGGAAGTGGACTAGGTGTGGGAAGAAGTCTTCAGGCACTTAATGGAGATGTGGAGGTAGCAAAAGCTGCTCTAAAGCCAGGTCGTTCTGCATTTGCTCTGTGCAGACAAGCCCACGGGGTATGGGTCCAGCAGTCGGAGGACGCCCCAGACAGGCATCGTGGATGAGTGCTGCTTCCGGAGCTGTGACCTGAGAAGGCTGGAGATGTACTGCGCGCCCCTCAAGCCTAACAAGTCGGCCCGCTCGGTCCGTGCCCAGCGTCACACCGACATGCCCAAGGCTCAGAAGGTAAGTGACCCTGGGTGGGAACCAGAGAATTGCCTCTCATACTGAGGCCTCACAGTGTCCCCAGTTTATAGTGCTACAACGCTCCATTCTCATCTTAGATGACCTTCCCTTTGGTCATTTCTCATTGCAAAATCTCTATTCCACTGCTCTGGATGGCCTGATAACCAGAAGACAAATATGAGTCCTGGCTTTCTCCATTACCAGCTGAGAGCCCTCAGTCAAATAATGTAAATAAATGGTCTCAGCCTCTGTTTCATCAGGAACATGGATGATGATAATATCTACTAATCGACCTATTGTAAGAATTAAGGTCATGCATGTAACAACGCTTTTCAGTGCCCGCACCATGTAACTGTTGGCAAGTGTTAATGTCTGTCACGGCTGTGATTGATAACAAAGGATGTAATCTTTCAAGTCCTGGCATTCTCCAAAGGTGTAAAGAAAAACCTACTCTAAATGGGGAACTATTTAAAATCACATCCAGTGTCCAACATAATTCAGAGAAAAAAATTAAAAATAGACATTTCTGTTTAGCTCTAAAAGCACCCAGACATTTCTAATTCTAAAATCTGCAGGTGTCTTTCAAGAGCTAGATTTTAAACAGTCCTCAGAGATACTCTCTCCACCATCCATAGTGCCTACATCATCTTATACACATTAGTTGTTTGATAAATTTGTGTGGGATGAATGAATAAGTGTGTGAGTGGAAAAAATAAATAATTAGCCAAATTTTAGTCATTAATTAGAAAGAATGAGAACTGAAAGACGGTAAAGGAGGAAAAAGGAAACAAGCAAGCATGAGTAGAGGAGAAAAAAATTCTCATTTAAGTTTCCTTGGGGACTCCTGGCAGAAAAAAAAACAACTGGTTTTAATCTTTGGAGTCAAAACAAGCCCTGTGCAGAGTGCAAATAAGAGACCAAGACCTTCAGAATGTGACCTTTGCCACCTGCCTGGGCCCCAATGCAGCTGAGGTTGGGGGAGGGGGAGCGGGGGCGGACCTTAGCAAAGAGGTGACCTCAGAGAACCACCTGGCGTGATGGGCAGGAACTGCACAACAACGGGGTGCACACAGAACAGTAGCTGACGGGTGAGTCAGGGAGCAGGTCCCAGGGCGGTGACTTGCAGGCGCATGTGGCTGAAAAGCGTGTTTGAAGGGGCGAAGGCAGGTTAATGCTTTCTCTTCCCAGGTGACCTCTCAATTATTAGTCGGGGAGGGGAGGTGGAGAGTTAGACATGAGCCCCGCAGTTCTGGAATGTTGGGTCTAGTGACTGAGGTCCAGGCTCCTCTCCAGCAATCATCTTGTCTCCTCCATCCTACGGAGTCCGGGCTTCTAGGCTGACGCAGAGATTCTTGTCTTCTGGGACACTGAAGGAACCACTTGTTCTCAATGCCATTATTTTTGTGATGTTTACAGTATCAGCCCCCATCTACCAACAAGAAAACGAAGTCTCAGAGGAGAAGGAAAGGTGGGCCGCAGGAACACCCAGGAGGGGAACAGAAGGAGGGACGGAAGCAAGTCAGCAGATCAAAGGAAAGAAGAAAGAGCAGAGGAGCTAGACATTCTGAACACAGAGGCAAAAAGGACAATGGAGGAGAGAAGGACTAAACAGACAGAGGCAAGGACCATGAGAGAAAAGGAGACAGCGATAAAGAAAATTGGGAATTGGTTAGAGGGAATGAAGAAAAATAGGCCTGGTGGAGCTAGATAATGCATGTGATGGAAGGAGGAGAAGGGGCCGGTGGTAGATGTGGCTAAGAGTCATGGAAAAGGAAAATGTCATGTCCAAGAAAGTCCAAAGACAGACAGTGGCCAAGTGAAAAAAGAATAACGATGATTAAAAGGGGTCAACAGGGCAAAGTACCCCTTCCCTCCAAAATTCATTAAATAAGAATCATAGATAAAAGAATTAAGATTGAAATCAGGCCTTCTTTTTACATGCATTTTTAAAGATTGTGTGACTCTATTATAGAAGAACTGCCCTTGTCAAACATGTCCAGAGTTGAATATTAACCCAAAATTCGCAGGAAGACTGGATTGTGTCATAACGGTTCCCAGATTTTCTTTCCTGTGGTGTCACTTGAGGCTGCCTTTCTTGGTCAAGTCCAGGTTCAGGCCAAAGGGCAGTCAGTATTTATCTAAATGCCTGTGAGCCTGTGAGGAAACCTATGAGAAGAGGTCACTGACTCTTTTTTATTTATTTATTTTTGCACTTTGGAATCAGATTTAAAGGAGGTATTAGTTTGCTAAGGTCGCCATAACAAAGTGCCACAGACTGGAGGACTTAAACAGAAATTTATTTTCACACACTCGTGGTGGCTCCAGTCCAAGATCAAGATGTTGGCATGGTTGGCTCTTGCAGAGGGCTGTGAGGGAGGGTATTTTCTAGGGCTCACATCTAGATTTGTAAGTTGCCTTCTCCTCCCTCTGTCTCCACACTGCCTTCCCTCTCCACATGCCAGGATTCCCAACGCTCTTCTTACACTGACACCTGCCATACTGGAGGTCCTTATGAGACATTTCTGACATTAACAACCCACTTTTGTGACCTCATTTTGTCTTAAAAATCCTGTCTCCAAATACAGTCACATTTTGAGCTACTGTTGGTTAGGGCTTCAGCATATGAATTTAATGGGGGTCAGAGGGACACAATGAGACCCTTACAGAAGACACCTGATGTCTATTACTTATTTCATCCTGTCTCTTACAGACACTTTCAGATATGAAATCCTATGAGTTTTTGCTACAGAGAAATATGATAACCATGGTATATTAGAGCTACAAAAAGCCTCAGAAATCATTTGGCTCAGTCCTTTCATTTTAAAGGTAAGGATCCTAAGATCCAGAAATGAATGAAGATGTGTTTGGCCAGCAGAGGACAAAAGATCATCAACATGGACAAAGAAATTTCCAAAAGGAAAAGATGGAACAGAAGTGGCCATACAAAGCCTCCCAGACATTTACAATTTTTCCACCAGAAGGAAAGCCATAAATGAGAACAAGAGTCCTGGAAAACCCAGGGTAAATAAAGCTAAGTAAGATCATGAAATTTAGATATTAGAGATCTTAGGCATCAGCTTTTTTGCTTTAAATACTTGGGCAAGCATCTTCATAGATCATGAAGCCAAACCCCAGAAGATCACCCAAATTGTTAATTCTAAGAGCTGAGAGTATGTTCAAAGAAAAATGCTTAGCCAAGCAAATGATGACATGGGGTAGAGAAATTACTAAACCCAGAACTGCAGCATTTCATTGAAGTAGTCAACTTTGAAGACATTTCTAATTAAAGGGAGACTCCTTTCTCCCAGGTCCTTCATGCCCTTTCCTGGCTTTCTATTTCAGGATTACCCTTCCTCTGTGGTTCACTTAAAACCCAAGATGTAAAATAACATAACATGTAGGATGAGATACTCAACCCAAGAGGAAAAGTTCCCATCAGAAGCATGTCTCAGCCCCAGATGAGAGCCAAAGCACTGCCACTGTGGTTACAATAGATCCAAGCTTCTAAGACCAAAGGCCTAGGCTGACATCTTAGCCCACATGATCACTAACTTATTTGGGAAATGCTGACTTCTGCTAAGACATCCATGCTAGGACCAGCCTGTAGTCAGGTCAACATCTACTGCAAGCACCATGTGAAAGTAGCCTCCAAACACAGCTGATTCTTCATTGGATCACAGTTCAGCAGAGAAATGGATGGTTCGTGTTCTATGGAAAAAATACTTCAAGATTTCTCTTCCCTATTTTATTGATGACTGAGTAAATGTCAATTATAGATCATGCCTTTGGGAAAATCTTTAATTATATCAGATGATAAATTTAATTTAAGAAGTAAAGCAAAGACTTGAAAAGAAGAAAAAAGCAATATAATTTTCTAGTTAAAGAAGGCCTAACTCCAGAATCTGAATTAAACACACTCCTTTTCAGAATGGTGCTATAACTCAAAAGCAATTACCTGGAATGCCTACATGTGATTTCTAAGCAATATGATTAAGTAACTGGGAAGAATTGTCTTTCTATAGCCTCTTTTCTAATCTCAACACTAAGCACTGAGTGATACCTGACATGTAATGCTAGACAGAAGGATGGAGGGAAGAATGGAGAGCTGGGTGGATAGATGGGTGGTTGGATGGGTGGGTGGGTGAATGGAAGGATGGAAGGATGGATGGATGGATGGATGGATGGATGGATGGATGGATGGATGGATGGATGGATGGATGGATGATCATAGGGACTAATGAGTAAAATAGATAATAACTGAATAATAGATTATTTAATAGTAGTAAGCAGACCATAAAAATAAGTAGCTCTACTGAGATGAAATGATTTCTTTTCCCCCATAGGATTGTGAAGCAAGTACAGAGTAAAACAGGGAAGGCAAAGGAATCACACATACACAAGTCTGTCATGTTTGAGTTTACATCTGTTCCCTAAATTGAAATAGTTCAAGGACTTACTACTTAAAGTGGCAACTGATTTGTCACTTTATAGTGAGTGCTATGTACCTATTAGTACCCACAGTGCTTTCTTAAAATAGGCAGATTTAATCATAATTTAAAATTCTACTGTTTAAACTGTTTCTTTTAGGGCAAATTGCTGATCATATGTAAAATGAATGAAATACATAAGGAATCATTATTCTGAAATAAAATTGTTGAACTATATTTTTTATTGAATGCCTATAATATGCAAGTCTCTATACTAAGCATATGTGAGAATTATAGAGATTAAAAAAAGCAATAACTCAGAGGGTTAAGAATATAGAATCTAGGGTTAGAATGCCAGGGTTCAAATTCTAGCCTTCCCATTTACAAGCTTTGTGGCCTCAGGAAAATCATAAAACATCCCTGTGTCTCCATTTCTTCATCTGTCAAATTAGGGTTGAATCTACCTCATATAGTTACTATGAGGATTTACTGAGATAATATGTATACATACATATATAAAACATGCACGTACATGTACATATGTGTATTATATATATCTAATAGTGCTTTATT